CCCCCCCCCCTTTCCCCCCCCCCCCCCCCCCCCCCCCCCCCCGAGGAAAGTAGTACAGGAAGTCCTCGATTCACGTCGTTTCAATATAACGTCGATATAACGTTTCACAAAGCCCGAGTATATTTTATGTGCAGGCTGCAATAAGTTGGATTTCAGGAATGCGTTTACGAAGACTGCCACTGGAGGATGTGGAAAAGGAGGGAATGCGGAGGAGAGAATGGGGGTCGCTTTAGGAGTGCTAGGAGGATTTTGTACCGATTTGGAAATGCTGTTTTTGGAGGTAGGTCTTAAGGGGAGACCCCCTCCCCCCCTCTCGAAATTTTCGAATTTTTGATAAAATTTTCACTTTTCAGATTTTCATATTTTCAGCAGGAAAACATATGTAATTTCCCATCCCGTCGAATCTATGAAGAATTTTGGCTCTCATTGTCCCCAAAATTATGATTTTGTTGGCATCCTCTTCTAAATATTTGCTGATAATTAGTTAAGTGAAACTTCAAATCCGGTTTTCTCAAAAAGTGTATTTTCTTACCTTGGGACACTATCTCTGGAATGCTTAGAGATATCTTCTTCAAATTTTGTAGTCATTCCAGACACGTTTGTGCATGTTTCTGTGTGGTAGTTCCGATGTCACTAAAAAAAAATGTCATCGTCATGCCATTTATAGCGAGGAGTGTGTGATCATTTTGGTGCACCTAAAATAAAAAATTTGGAAATATCGAAAACACGTGAATCTTGTAAATTTTATCACAGAAATGTTGAATAAATATCTATTTGACTATTTCACTTAGTTTTGTTCATCTGCCTCTGATAGGTTGGAGTATAGCATGCCTCAAAGTTGTTCGCATATCACTATGCCAACTGGTTGCCATGGCAACCCGTGTGCTACTGAGGAAATGACTATGACTGAAAATCTCTAGCCTTATTGTGTTTGCATCCCAAATTTCATGCAGATATCTTGCATAATAACCGATTTTTGTCGAGGGGGGGGGGGGGTCTCCCCTTAAAAGAGTGAATTTCAGTCTGCAAGCGGGTAGTCGAGTGCGGGCCAATTGGCTGGGCTCCTAAAATCTTATCCGTTTAGGACTCTACGTTGAACCACTTCAGCACGTGGGTGTGACGTCCGAACGGTGAGATTACATAGCTCAGTGGGGATACCATAAACTAGGTATACGGTACGCGGGATCTACTGCTTTCTTCCGACTTGGCAGCTTTCGCGACGAGTGTGAGACAGAGGCGTTAAATGGGGACGTCAGCATCCAGGGGAAGTGTGAACATCAGTGGACGGGTGAGTTTAGGCAGCCGAGAATCTTCTCCCCGAGTCACTGGGGGAGTGACCAAAAGATCTCCCGTTTGCCGCACCTCAGATGTCCCCGAAGGACAGTGAGTTCTTGACTTTATATTCGGCCATTGGCTTAGCCTTCACTTAGTAATACTAATGCGTTTCGGAATGGTCGAGCTTAGAAATTCTCAGATCCCTTAAGGCCTATGGTACGTCTCAGGCCCTCTGGTAGCCTCTCCTTTGTAGTACTGTTGCGATGAGTTCACCCACCCCTTTAGCGCCAGCAATTTTTTTAAATGGGACCTATCGACATCAGCAGAACTGACGTTTCATTTGGTCTTGGGCCATTAACCAAATACAAGTTCAAGTCATACCTAAGAGTCCAAGCACCAGTGGCCCCAGTGCCCTTATGGGAGTGTGTATGAACTCTTTATGAAAGCACAGTAATGTAGTGGCTAAAAGGTCTGTTAGTCTGTAAAGCAATTCTCCCCATAAATTTGCCTTGGAACAAAAGCAGTTGCTTGATACACTGTTTTTGGATTGAATTCATCCCTTCCATTAGATTCCATACCATCAATTGCTGGTAGTTTCATTTTACATGCTGGTCATTACATCTATCACCTGATACTGTGAGTAAGTGAATACTTATAAAAGGTGTGTTTTCCCTGTTTTCCATTACAGGGTGGTTGTAAGAATTCAATCTGAGAACAGTGTATCACTTGATCTCCTTGTTGCTCTACTGTACACCAAACATTCTGTAGAACAGAGGGGGGTGACGTTGGCTGGTTTAGGCTCAGGGGGCCAGATGGAACCATTCAGAAGTGGTTGGGGACCATGCTAACAAATCCTATACCACATTTTTCACATAAATAGGTTGAAATTTGCAGCACTTTTCTAAACCTACTGTTGAAGGGGTCTTTGGGCTAGACAAAATAGACAGGTAGGCTGAGAGAAAATGGGGCCTATTGTCAGATGGAACTTGAACTGTAACCATGAAGCCAAACATGCTGGAAAACATGGAGCCAAGTGCTCATAAATGGTTCTCAGAAACTTAGACCATCTGTCAGGCTATTGGTTGAGCTTTTGTGTTTAATAGAATGAAGGAGTTTGATTGGGAGGGGGAGCGAGTGTTGGTCGTTCAGCAAAATGGAGTCTTCTATGCCATTGGAGGGAAGTGCACTCATTATGGTGGACCTTTGGGCAAAGGAGTGTACAGCAATGGGAAAATTCGTTGCCCTTGGCATGGAGCTTGCTTCAATGTTACAACTGGTGAGTTTGCTTATGTTTTGATTAATTGCAATGGCAATTTTTGAAAACCATCTTTCAATTCCTAAGCATTGGTGAATTTTTTTTAATAGGTGATATTGAAGACTTTCCTGGTTTAGATCATCTTCCATGCCTTAAAGCACATGTTCAACATGGCAAGGTAATAATTGAGGGACAGCCTGAGCAATTATCTGTAGGGAAGAGAACATTTCCTCCTGGGCCTGGTGTGTATGTGGAGGGCGAGCATCAGACCTTCATCATTATTGGGGCAGGTAATGTGAGCTCTATGCATTCATTATTATCTATGATGTGGGGGAAGACAAGCACAAGGCAAAGCAAGTTTGCATTGTTAGACCAACATCTTTCAAGAAGTATCATCTTGTTTCATCCAGACTTTCCACTTTTGATTAATTTCTAAGCTATTCATGTCTGTGAAGAGTAAAAATGTCAAACATTGAGCACTGAGTGATGATGTGATTCATGACCTCTGGAAGGTCTTGGTTCTACCGAGATTCATTAGGGCATGGGCCAGTCCTCTATGGAGCTCTTAGTGATCATGAATATGAAGCAACTTGCCTGCAAGACTGAACATCTCATGTCTGTCTACCCACAGACACAGTACTTGTACTAAGGATTTTTTTGGTAAAATTTGCCCATCACCTTGCTCTCATCATCCTAAGAATATAAGACTGATCTGCTTCATTTTTATTTTAAACAATGCAATGAGGCATCACCAACATAAAAATTGAGAAAAATTAACATTTTTTGCATCCTGTTTTTTTTTTTCTTCCTAGTCTTCCCCATGTAAAACCAGGACTACATTTAGGTTACCCTCACATAGATCTGGTTTTCCAAAACTACAAAGAGTACTTATTAATGGCTCTGAACAATGCATATTCTGGAAATGTTTGTGAGGAGACTAGCATTGCATTGGACATGCATCCTATCACATGAAGTTCTCAGTCTCTTGGGCAAGTTGCTTCACCTTATTATTCACCATAAGACTATAGAATTTCTGTTAGTGACAACCTACATATGAATGAAGACAATGATTAAAGTAAAATATTGTAAAAGAATCCCAAATAAGTCTTGAGTTCTCCTGAATACCTAGTACACCACTTTGCACCCAAAGGTCATGCTGATGCCAGTGCTTCTACTAAGCCTAAAATGATTCTTGTAAATATGAAGGTTACTTACATGGACCTTACTAAGGGTTTTAGCAAAAACCAAATATTTTACAACCAATTTTGCAGTTTCATTGAACTTCTTTATTGTTGCTTGCTATTTTGTTGATTTTCTCCATCTGGCATCTTGGAACTGGTTTTCAGACAACTTGCTGATTTATATTGGCTCTTTGCACAAATGCTCAAAATCATGAAAATATAAATGCAAGTAATATTAATATAAAACACATATTTGTACTACAGCCAGTTTGGTACTGTCTGAATGTTGACTTTTTTCTATTAAACTATCATTCATCATTTTCTAAAGGGAGAGTCATGCTACAATGAAGTAAGATACTGTTAAACCTTGGTATGTGGATTCCTGGTGCATCACAAAATGCTTTATATATATATAATATGCAGTGACATGTGAATTTATTATAAATTCATTCATCTCCTTTTGTTCCTGTCTATAAAGGAAATGCTCAAGGGTCACGAATTACACTCAAGTGGCACATGGTTTGTGCCACAGATTTTGACATGCAGATTTCATTTTCCATTTCTTAAACTGACATCTGCTCCACTCAGTGAAAAGCAATATTGGAGATCACAAATGTAGCCCATGGGCATTTACAAGGGTATCACCTCTGATGGCTTCCCTTTTTTCCCTCTGTCTTATCTTGTCCTGCCCTGTACAGTCATTACTGATATTCACTGTGTGGTTGGTTTCACTTTGTGAATGACCTTGTTTGACAGGAGCTGCAGGTTTGACTTGTGCTCAGACATTGAGGAACCAACTGGGCTTCACTGGCCGCTTAATCCTTTTGAGTAAAGAACACCATCTACCTTATGATCGGCCAAAGATATCCAAGAGCCTTGGTATTGAAGAAGCTCAGGCAATTCTTAGAGACCGTAAATTTTTCAAGGTAAGCCACTACTCCTATGCACTTTGGGTCTGTACTATCAAATAGACTTAAGACCCTTGTAAGACCAATGTTATGCCTTTTTTTTTTTAATACCTTGGGTTGTTGGACATGGCTTGCCTCCTGCCATCAAACATTAATATTAATTATCCAATTGTGTAAGGAAGTGTGAAGCATTGACTTTCTACTCATTTGCTTCATAATAACCCAGAATGAATCTGTGAGATGACTTAAAATGTAAGCTCAAGTTCTGCAGAGTAAATTTCCACTTACTTCAACCTCCAAAATGTGTTCTTGTGGAGTCCATATTAATCAATTATTTCTACAGTTATACTTTTAATAGTTTCACATTATGATGTTTTGAATACCAACTACTTTACCATCATTCATCATTGCAAACACCATCAGCAGCAGCTGATGCACTAGCAGCAACAGCATATATTCAAAGAATTCAAGCATTTGAAAAAGTCCAGCCTTTAATGCATGATTTTTTGTTTTTTGGTGAAAAAAATTAGGAAGGTTTTACTTACACCCCAGAACATGGGAAAAGTGAAAAAAAAAAAATTGTTTTCCTCAAATTTGTAAGCAATAGGCCTGAAAATGTTATTGTTGCTCATTTGCTACAAACAGCATTTTCAGCTTTCTAACCTACACTGGACGGAACAGAGCTCAGTCGTTCTGTCAACGTAAAAGAAAATGCAAAAATATGGATGGGCCTGAATGCTGAAATAACGTAAAGTTAAGGATGATTGCACCAAAAACGTCAATCTGTCATGTGATGAAACCAAGTTGTTTTTAATTTCTGTGCCCCTGGGAGTGTATGGTACCTAGTGACACCATGGTTGCTAGGTATAAGGACTGGACTGTTGGACATCTGCTACAAACAGATTTACCTCAGGAGCTCACTGCCTATGCATTCTAAAAATGTTTATTTGGCTTGTAGTATATCTGCTATGTCATGCATTGAAGGGTCAAGATCAGTTGGAGAACATTTACACAAGAGAGTCTGGCTGGTGGTGGAAGTTGATATCTTGGTTTTTTGTTAAATTTGGTTTGTGGGTTTTCTTTAGTGAGCTATTGACTACCAGTGATTATTTTTCTAAGATTGTGAAAAATGTACACAATGGAGGTTAAAGACTTGAAAAGTGTTTTTCTAGTCCTGACTGTGGTCTTAGTTTAAGGCTTATAAGGCCAATCTTAAGATTATTGTGAAATATACTGTTTGTTTTGATGGACTTTGTTGACTCTAAGACTTCATAAAACTTTGGTAATAATGATGATAATGTATAGGGTGTACTTATTACCTTACATTCTGTTATTGTTGCTGCAGGATTGTGGCATTGAATGGTTACCTGAGAAGGAGGTGAAGAGCATTAACACGACCAGCCGGACTATCATCTTCCAAAGTGGGAGTCCACTTCCTTTTACAAAGTGTCTCATAGCTTCCGGAGCTCGGTGGGATTCCTCAGCTATCAATTTTTTAATTGCCACTCTGTTTTAATTTCTTGTTACAATTGCAAAGTTCTATTTTTCTCAGGGCTCGCAAGATGGATGGTACTCCAGGTTTTGATTTGCCTGGCATTTTCAGCTTGCGATCCCTGGATGATGGGAAAGAAGTATCTCAGCAAGTCCTGGACAAGAAAGTAGTGGTTGTTGGAGCATCTTTCATAGGTGAGGACATCAGAGAGGGTTCAAAGTTGAAGTATGACAATAGCAACAATAAAAAAATCATTTTTGCTCAGGATAGATTTAATGGATGAAAAATTTATTCTTTAGTAAAATTTGCTTATCATTTCAGGATAGAAAGGGTGCTAGGCACTTTTATTAGTCATCGAAGTTGATCATAAAATGCACTTTAACATACACTTAGCATACATAAAACACACTTTAGCATACACGATATAGAATCATTTTAGGTTGGTTAAGTTTCATTACAGGATTATTTTTGAATTAACTCAATTCTTTTGAATGAATTTATATCAGAACCTTTGATGAAATAAAGTTAAATAAGTTCATTTGGTTCAAGGTAAATGAAATTGGTGCTTGTGACTTTTAACATAGTGACCTTGAGTGCCTCTTACAAGAAAGGGCTCCTCTCAGACTAAGGGAAGTCTTGGTAGCTCCAACAAAGTAACAATTTTTGCGAGAAGCACAGGATGTCTTGGAAGCATAAGCATCACAGCAACCATACGACATGTGTCACATCCTGCTCTCAGGCATCAAATGTGCTGAAAACTGAAACTAGCAGTCAAGGATGCATGATGTGGAAGGGAAAGTTTTGAAATGCAAGGTGATTATGAAGTTTTTGATGGGTGTACATTCCAGAAGCTATATAAGCAAGAAACTATATGCTGCTGCTCAGTGGAACTTTGGGAGTGGTATCAGTTCATTACAGGTAGAACATTATGCAAAAAAAAAAGAGAAATTCTTGCCTCAAAGGAATAAGTGCTCAATAAAGTGCCCCTACCAAGCTTAGCAATTGCTTCCAATAGGTGTACTACATTGCAGGCTGTGTCTCCCAACATGTTTTGGGGAGTGGACTATACTTCTAGAGACTGGGGTCATTCAGTTCAGGTAATGATGCTAGAATGCTAAGATAAACACGTGGCTTCAGATATCCTCACAACAAAAACTCAGACACATATTGCTATTTCTACAGGTAATGAACCATCTTCATGCAAGATGGTGTATCACTGTTTATTTCAGCTCCAACAAAGATACGTTTCACTAAAACTTTTCAGGACAGAGTTATCTAGACATTTTCAACATAGTGGCCACCCAGGTCACTGGTCCTTAACTCAGCAGCATTTTGGTTCTAAGGGTACCTGAAGTTATGGGTGTATTTCAGAAATCCATTATCATTATTTGAACTGAAGGAATGTTCCCTGAGAAATACAGTTCATTCCACAAGATAGACTAAGAGATGCAGTTTATAATCCTGTATGCAGATTGAAAGCAGTTTGAGAGCTTGGTAGGGACAATATGAAGCATTTGTTTAAATGAATAAAAGACATCAACACCAACAGTACCCCTTATTAGGTGTGAGTTTCATTTTGTGTAACATTCTCCTTGTGATGCATTGCTACTTCCATAGTTTCACTGAGCTACAGTACATTAATATTTTTGTAGAATGCCATACACCTCTTAATTGGCTTTTTGATCACCTTGTACTTCCAGTCAGTTTGATGTAAAATGCTAGATGAAAACTCGTATTTCATTATGCTTTTGGGGCATTAATTACATCAATTGATTTGCTGTAAATGTGTGACCATATTCAAATAGGTATGGAGGTAGCTGCAGCTATCACTGGAAAGGCTGCCAAGGTCACTGTTGTTGTCTCTGGGAAGGTCCCATTTGAGCGCATTCTTGGTCAGCAGATTGGGGCTCGCATCATGAGGATTTTTGAAGCTAAAGGTGTGGAGTTTGTTTTGGGAGTGGATGTCAAAGAATTTCAAAGCTTTGAGGACACGGGGTCTCTTGGCTCGGTGGTCCTTAACAATGGTCATGCTTTGGAGGCCCAGGTTGCCATCCTTGGCGTTGGGGTAGAACCTGAGACTGGTTTCCTCTCCCAGCCTGGACTCAATCTGAATGAAAGAGGCTATCTGATTGTGAACAAGGTGGGTTCTTATTTTTCTGTGACCTTTCATAGTCTACTTATGAATGCATGCCACTTCTATGCATTTTCTACAATTGCATCTGTTATGTAGTCTCCTATATGAGGCAACTCTCCATTTAATTTTTGTTTCCTGATTCTATCAGTGGATGGAAACCAATGTAGATGGTATTTTTGGGGCTGGAGATGTGGTATCCTTCCCACTGTGGCTACACCATAAGGGAAATGTAAGCATTGGGCACTGGCAGCTTGCTCAAGCTATGGGACGTTGTGCTGCCTTCAACATGATGGGATCCAGGCAAGAATTGCGAACTGTCCCTTTCTTTTGGTCTGTGCTCTTCGATGAAAAACTCAGATATGCAGGTAAAATCAAATTTCCATAGAGATGAGGAGTACTATATATTCTTGATACTGTTTTTTCTAGCTTAAATAAATTGGTTTTTTCCTCAAGGTTATGCAGGTGACTTCGATGATATCGTGATCAAAGGAAACCTAGAGGACTTGAAGTTCCGTGCATATTATGCTCAAGGTGAGAGGATACTGGCCATTGCTACAATGAACAGTGATCCCTTGGCTGCCAAGTTTGCAGCTGCTTTGGAGGAGGGAGTCCCACCAAGCAAGGCAAATATTCTCACTGATCTCTAAGGCAACTCACTGATATCTCTTTCTTCAAGTGATTCCAGGTCATTCATTGATCAGGGAATAAGAGAACATATATAGAAGAAAATAGGTTTAAATTCTGGGGTTTCTGGGATTGTACCCCCTTTCAAGGCAGCTCAGTAGCTGAAGTATCTGTAAAAGCAGATGAATTTATGTGTTTCATTTTTATGTATTCTTGCATCAGATCCATTCCAGACATAATTTTGGACTACTTATATTGGAAGAGATTATGGTAGCTAAACTATATGTACTGTATAGCTATGTTCAGAGATGCATGAAAAATACTGCCAGCACTCTAGTCTGACACCAAAGTTCTTGAATATTGATGGCTTTCATTTAAACTTTTCCTGTGATGTCTCGAGACCAAATTAAAGCATTTTTTTTATGAAGTTAGACTAGAGCTTTGGAGAGTCAAAGTAATGCTGTCACTGTAGGTGTGCCTCTAAATTTATGACTGACTTGATGTCGATGGTCTTGGTTTCCAACACATGCTTGCACACTATGTATATATGTTACTGTGCTGTATTTAGCCTGTTTCAGAAAGATATTTTAGTTTTTCCTATACAATGGCCTACATCCCTGCAGAAAAGTGTGTATTTAAAAGTAATTTTGGACAATTCAGCTGAGCTGTTTGTTTCATAATTTGTTTAGTCCTTCAAGCCTGTTTGAAGTCTTTATGAGGTGTCCAGTTTCAATCTGTGCCTTAAATTAATATAACTCCTTTTGCTCCCTATACACAATAATTCATAAATGGTCTAGATAATATGAATTCAATAACACCATGTATTTTATGGAGAAATATGATTTTTGGATATGTGATAAAAATGATACAGATGCAATAGTGTTTATATCATCTTTCATCCCTTTCCATCTCAAGTCACCCTCCCTTGTTCCCCTTGAGAGGATTTGAAGGAATTATATCAACTGTGTTCCATTCCCTGTAAACAAGGAAGCATTCCAGTGAACTTTGATTTAATGCTTTACAATCTTTCCATGGCTGTATAGGGACCAGGATCTCAATCAATTCTCTAAAATGAAACTAGTAGTTTTTCAGAATTTCACAAAAAGCAATTGGCCCATTGGAGCTCAATATCCTCCAACCAATAGTTTTTCCTTTTATTCCATATCAATATACAGTGAAAACTCGTTAACTCGAATCCTGATAAGTCGAAATTCCGCTTATCTCGAAGTTCAATGCTTGGTCCCGGAGGAACCCCGTAGGACACCATGTTAAAAGCTTTGTTTAACTCGAATTCGCTTATCTCGAATCCGGATATCTCGAATGAAATTTTCACTCCCCATGGCGATTTGCTCACGGTTAACTCGAATTCTGGGTGAGAAGGGGGGGAAAATTCTTCTTGTGGGACTTTTCGATTTTTTTAATAGAATGAATGACAAGAAACCCGTTTGGGAGGATGCTCTTTTGTTTTTGTTTTTTCTGCTTCTCCCTCCTCCCACTCAGACACCTGTGGAGAGGATTAAACCTGAAAAGCTTCGGCTATAAAAAAAAGTCTCCAACATTTGCTCTGTCAAGCTATCGCTCTCACTCCGAGCCATTCTGTTCCCTATGTCCCTTAACGTGAGTTTTTTTTTTGGGGGGGGGGGGGGGGGGGGCGATTCCTGATAACTCGATCTTCGGATAACTCGAAACGATTTGCCTGGTCCCTAAAAGTTCGAGTTAACGAGTTTTCATTGTACCTCATGACGTTACAACTCAAACTCATTCATACGAATTACACAAAAGCTATCTGGCAACTCTGGTGAAGGCACGAGCAACCACTGAGTGCGAGCAACCCACCGGCGACCATAGTTGAGTGGTGACTATTGGAATAACGCGTTCTGAAAGCTGCATGAGGGCCTACAAATAATAGACCCCAGGCCTAGTTGAACGATTGGCCGATGGTGTGGCTTTCCAAGACGCTTCTCAAGGCGTAGGCTAGGCCTACGGAATTTCATGGCTGCGGCTGATGATAGCTTTGAACAGGTTTGTTGATTGCGTGTCGCTGGCACGATGTTAGATCTATGGGCGTAGACCTATGTAGCTAGATCTAATGTTGAATCAACCGCAACCTAAGTCGTTAGCTTTTGAGCGTGATACATCTAGGTCTAGGCATAATGTATTGTAGTTAATCTAGATAAGAGGCCTCTACGTATGCATAGATCCAGCTCAAGTTTGACCCCAGCCCACGATAAGCCCAAGACTACATGTTCTTAAGGTGGTATTCGTCAATGACGTAAGTGTTTCCCAAACTGTGTGCCGCCAGTAAGGCTTAGGTGCGCCGTGAGATTTGAGAGTTGACAAAAAAAAACAACAAAATACTAAAGCTAAAAAAAACTTGAAAACAAGAGGGAACATCATCTCTCAGTGGAAAATGAGCTGAGAGTTGCACTATCATGCGTCGTATCTAACTGCTGTGTTCAGCAAAGCAGGCACAATTTTCCCATTGATAGTAAATAAATGGCTGGGTGTGCCATGGAGAGTTCAAGTGTCCTTATGTGTTCAGCACATAAAAATGATTGGGAACCACTGACGTAAAGCATGTCAAGATGTAATATTCAACTCCTTTGCTGATAGCTACTGGGCATAGCCACAGTAACCCATGTCTTTCCTTAGGTCATACCCCCCTCATGACTTTCAATTTGCTTTTTTGGGGTCTAAAGGGAAAAGGGCCCATCTTTGCATGTCATCCAGTCATTGGGCTTCCAAATAGCTTGAAAAGAAATTGTGTATGATAAAAGAAAGAAGTGAGGGTGTGGGCAGTGAACAAATCCACACTATTTGGTATCTGTTTAGGCTGTGAACCATTGGGTACCAGGTCTAACTTGAAGGAGGGTGAAACAACAAAGATGTGAAGAGAGTAGTAGCTATGCTGCTGTGGGTAGAGTGACTACCTTGCTGATAATGCCAATCTATGATTCATCATAACAACAGTGATATATTGATTTAATTTCCCCATTCCCTTTTTGAGGGGTGCAATGTCGTGCAACTTGAGTAGCATCTGCCTTCATAAAATAACTAATTGACTAAATCTGAAAGAGGTGGGAATCAAGTAGTTCCCACTTTCACTCTCATCAAAGGAGAGGGTTAATTCTATTGGAAATTACTGTAAATAGGATGAAATCCCCAAAGTTATCATTCATTTCAATCACTTCAACTTCTGGTGCATAATGAACAAAATGACAAGCATTGAGAATACTACTCAGATGGACTTAAAGTAAAGCAGAGATCTACTTCTATCTTTGTTATAGGTCACATAACAACTTTTCTGTGCTTGCATCTAGATGAAAGCCTTTCTTGGCATTCCCACATTCATTGTTGCATCTAGGATTTCTGAATGGGTAGGGATCTGTTTACTCTGATCACCTTGTCCATCTTCATCATGTTGTCATCAGTGATGATAACATTGGTCTGTCCTAGTTGGGGGTTTGTCCTCATAAGTTGTCTTCCACAAAACATTTTGTGCTATTCATATACTTTTTTTGGGGACAGAAATCCCTCCCCATAAATGGCAGCTATTCTATGATGTGGATATCACTTGGTTTTGCACCTTCTGTGCACAAAAGTGAATTACAGCTCTCTAATATTCCTTTAACACCCCTTCTTTGGAAGTAGCCATTTTTGCCAGGTACATGTTATCTTCTGCAAACATTGATGCCTATAACATTTTCAACACTACTCCAGTGTACCTAGGACTTCTGTATGATTCCATAAGATATATCATTTATATTGTTTTTATGCAAGTTTTGCTGTTTTTAGTTGTCTGATCTAAGTAATTTTCTAAATGTTCTATGTTATGGGTGCTTGGTTAAAAGGAGATTTTGGTATGAGTGCTGATGAGTCAATTTTCCTGAAATGTTATGCGCTCTATCATGAGTAACTGACCTTTTTCAGCCAGAGGAAGAGCAAGAAGGAGAAAGCCAGCCTATCCAGGCAGATAAGAGGAAAAGGTTGTTCTCTAAGGAATTGCGATGCATGCTGTATGGCTTTGGTGATGATCAGAACCCTTACACAGAAACTGTTGACTTCTTGGAAGACCTTGTCATCCAGTACATCACTGAAATGGTTTGATATCAAGTTGTCATCCTCATCATTGGTGTTCTCTTTCATTCCAAGCCTTGGATAGTCATGTGGAACTAACAGAGTGAGAAAGGCAGAAATTTAATTTGCATGTTATGGGAAAATCCATTAAATGTTATTACCTTCATCAGAAGATGGTAACCTATGTTGGGGTTACTTCAAGTTACATACTGGCTCTGAGATGTGTTTCTGAGGAACTCAGGCCATCCTTATGTCCCAGGACCATATCTTACCACACCTACTTCAAAGTTCAGAATGAGAAATTAGAACCAGCATTTAATCAATTCTGACTTATAATAACCCAAGAGTGTGTGCAATGTGCCCCTTTTCTTCTTTAGGAAGAATTTTTAAATTTTAGAGAAAATTTTAAATTTTCTGCTGTAATATGGGTAGTAGATAAGATTACAGCTTGGAACCTATTATTTAGTGCAGTAATTCTCGAAGGTACTCTTTGTTGTTCATTGCAACACGAGTGTTTATGGGTCATCTCCTGGTGATGAGTAGGTTCCCCAGATAGTTAAGGATGTACTTTTCTTTCTTTAATTCTTTGGGAGTGTCTATAAAAGCCCGCTGCAAACTCATGAAGGCTTGTTAATTGCTTTTTCATTCTAATATATTTTTAGCTGCTAGAAAAGAGATTGAGAAGCTTATGCCTTCTCCCCCTCTTCTTTTGCTGGGAGCAGGTCTGGAGAAAGAAGCATTTAACTTGTGACATGTTGTGGTAAAACCAAGAGTGTATGTATTATCATTGTATCAGATGATATGCAATACTTGGTTTTGGTATCAGTCCTTTCCAAGTATTTTCCAGGCTTGAAAATAAATTTTAAAGTTTTTCAACTATGCCAAACCAAGTCCCTTCCCCACTTCTCTCCCTTTGACCTTCATGTACTTGTCTGTTCTTGATTCACTTTTAGTGCATAGAGAGCAATAAAAACGCTAATGATTCTCTGGGGACATAAAAAAAGTTTTCCATGTTGTTTTTCTGATAATTTTGCTTTGTTAGTCCTTTTTTCATATAATATCCTTATTATTCTCTGATCATGCTAAGCCCTTGAGCTATTTTGGTGTGTATTCTGAGTACCTGCTGATGAGAATGATTTTGTGATGATGTTATTCTAGACCCACAAAGCAATGGAAGTTGGCAAATCAGGGCGTGTTCAAGTGGAAGATATCATCTATATGGTGCGTAAAGACGCTCGCAAGTATGCCCGAGTTCGAGATCTTCTTAACATGAATGAAGAGCTGAAGAAAGCCCGAAAGGCTTTTGATGAAGTGAAGTATGCAAGTGTCTGAGTGAACCTTTTGACTTGTGTTGCAATGGCAAATCACTATGAAATCCCTGACTGGGCTGGGAAGCCTCCAGTTGGTTTGCATCTTGATGTTCTCAAAGGGGACAAACTCATTCAGAAGCTGATGATTGATGAGAAAAAGTGTTACCTCTTTGGTCGAAATCCACATCTTAATGATTTTTGTATTGACCATGCATCTTGTTCTCGTGTTCATGCCACCCTTGTGTATCACAAAAATCTGGATCGTGCCTTTCTTGTTGATCTGGATAGCACCCATGGCACATTCATTGGACATGTGCGACTTGAGCCAAAAAAGCCTACCCCTCTCCCAATTGATAGCCAATTCCATTTTGGAGCGTCGTCTCGCCTGTACATTCTAAGGGCCCGGCCACAGACAGCACAGAAACCCATTATGGAAGAATTGGAGAGGTCTTCTGAGGAAGCTCATGGGGATCTCTTGGGACTCCCAGAAACTGAGATGGAGTTGGATAACTTGACAGAATTCAATACAGCACATAATCGGCGAATTACAATGCTCCGACTTGAAGAAGACCTTCAGAAAGTGCGGAAGCGTAAGAACAAATTTGTGACTTTCAATGATGAGGAAGAGGTTATCAATCCAGAAGATTTGGATCCAAATGTGGGACGCTTCCGAAATTTGGTGCAGACGACCGTGATACCATTGAAGAAGATGAAGGGTGATGGATTGACTGCAGAGAGTGGAATGAAGGCCTTAGGTACACATCCACACCATCGACCACTAACATCGCCATCATCTGGGGGTTTGTATCATGATATCCCTCCTGCCTCCCATAGCACTTCCCTTGGTCTCTTTACTAGTGCCCTTGGTGCAAAACTTGGCCTTCCATTACCTAACCCTGCCCCTGATGTGGAAATAGATCTCACCCCAGCACCTCAGATTTCAGCCATGCTACCTGAAATGCCTGTTGTTGGGGAAGAGGAACCACGGAAAAAGAAATATGCAAAGGAGGCTTGGCCTGGAAAGAAGTCAATGCCAGCTTTACTATAACCATGGAGTAAGATCCTACTTCTCTCCCTCTGTCATTGTTTGCTTCACCCTTTTTTTTGGATTGATGCAGTACAGCAATGCTCCCTCTTCCATGGTTTTCAGTTCAGGACTGTTGACATTTACATGTTGATCATCTTGAGTTGGTTTTCATGTAATAAAAACATTCTTATTGTGCACTGACTGGTAATGTTCATCTAGTGATCATGTCGTCTTGTATCTTATGAGTGAAATTTTCTGTGAAGAGTTGTCACAGAATTGGTATGCCACATCTAGTTTTGATTTCATTGCTGCTTAGGGAGAAAGCTCCAAATCTTGTTTCTTTTAATGTAGGTAGGAAATTTCTCATTTTTGATGATTCTGGTTGAGCTCAGGCTGCTGGTAACATTCTCATGAATAAGGTAAAGTATTGCTGATCCTACGAATGGGTGATTCAGTGGTGCACTTCACTGCAAATTTGTTAGATTTCTGGATTTTTCCTATTTTAATTCTGAAAGTGCTAAATTTATTTTATTTGTGTGGCACATTTTTTGTTGGAGACATCTTTGAAACATGGAAGTTTACTGTGATGGTATCAGTTTCAAGCTTGGGAAGTATCTCAGCTGGAAATATCTTGCCAGACAGGTTTCTAGAACCTTTAGTTATCAGACAAAAGTCATTGAAAGCATAAAATTGCCTCTTGATATGTCAGTTCTCAGTTGTAGGATTCCACTGTATTATCTGTATAGTAAAGGGTTTTCCCCAACCATGTGTTTCCTACCTCACCACACTCTGTAATAGCCCAGTTGTGGACACATCTGATGGTATGTGTGGCCAACTCCCATCTGTTATGTATCTGGGTTAAACAGTGTTAATTGGTTCATATTGACTATTGCTCAATTCATTCTCTTCCTTTCTTCTGTGTGACTGTTTCTGCAAGCTCCTCCTTTGCTTCACATGATGCAATGCTGTAAACATTGTTTAATTTCTGAAGACTTCCTTTGAAATATTTTGTTTTTATGCCAGAAAACCTTTTTGATTCAGTGGTTGTAATTGAAGGCTGTTTCAGAAAGGATTAATTCATTTTGACGATTTGATTCAAGGTGAGTCTGTTATTTCATTAGTATAAGTTAAAGACTGAAATGTGCTACACATAGGTTCACCTTCGACCGATTCCTTTTTTTTTTTAATAATATGCCTGTATAGGAACCAGTTTAACAGATATTCCTTTTCCCATGGACGCCCTCTGTGAAAGCATATCAGTGGCCATTGAAACAAATTTTGTTCATGCACCCAGTCCGAAGATGAATTTGAGTGGCGATGAAGAGCGAGGTAAGGTTATGTATGTCCGTGAAGAATTGCTGAATCCTTTGGAGAGAAGAGCGTCTTAAGCACTCTCGATATTTCAAATTGGAAATCAGGAGGGCTTGTCACGTTGCAGTGGCTGTTTTCCTGTACATATTGCTTTTACTGGGGAGAAGAGGACGACTTGAAACTTCACCAAACTCATTGTAGATTAGCTTCCCTTTTTTTTTCAGAGTGCGCGTCTGCTACCAGTCCGCTACACTTCTCTTGATTCATGTAATTCCTACTCTTTTTTTAACTACACCATCAATTAGTCGTGAGGTATTTATCGAAAACAAAAGCCGAAACTGCGTAACATGTATAACTCTTCCAGCAATAGCGCGGATGGCTCCGAGGTTTTCCTTCCCCTTGGCGGAGGGAATTAACATGTTTTTGGTCGAGTATGTTTAAAAATATTCCATTCAATATATTGTATATACTGTATACAAACACGTTCTCCTATAAGTCTCTTCGAATGGAGAGAGATCATTCACAATTTTGAACGGGATCGTTCACACCAACCGTATATAATATCATTGAGCACATCAGCATTCCCACTAATTACAGATTGGAATTTAAAGAAAGGAATTTATTGGAAAATCGTTTAGTCTCTGGAAGACTTGACCCGCGCGGGGTGCAATCCAAAACCAAGACGAGATAGGGATGAGAAAGAGACTGATTTCTGTATTTCTCCCTTGGGTGTCACTTGCCATATTTCAGCACGTGAAATTCGAAAATTAATCAGATTGGTATATGGCTTCGCATGAGGTCCAGTTCGTTAGGATTAATCTCGTTCCAATAAATGACACGAAATCAGATCAATTTAAGGTAAGAAGGATCTGGGTCCTGTCACCCTATTGTCTGCGGGATTTTAATTTCTTGAAGGGGAATCGTGAAGCCATGTCTGGATAGGTTTTCATTTCGTTCTTTCCCTATTGAAAGAAATTGAAGATGAGATTCCTCGCGTTCTCTGCCTCGTTTCCTCGTTTTCCCTTCTCTTTGGTGCTTGTCTGAAAGTGGATTAATTTAAGGAATACTATTGAGAGAACCCAGCATTCATGTATCAATCAACGCTAAACGAGCATAAATATTACACCTTCATAATCCTAAAATAGCGCCACATCCGAACATTTAGCCAATATTGTAATGTCGCTCATTGAAACTCTGACGAGCATTTCACTCTGTATGGCTGGAAGTATTTCAGCAAGTACTAAACTATTTCTTTCAAGTGACTTGTGAGGCCCTAATGATCTTCGCGAATCGAGCTCCATCCCTGCATTACTAAATTTTGCCCGTTAACGATACAAGTGGCGACCTTTTGTATCCAACCCTTGAGGCAGAATAGTCGAAGTGTAATTCTCAGCGGTTGACCTGTACTGTAAAGTTAGTTTAGTTAGGTTGATGAGTCTTTGGTTCGACTAAAGACTTCTGGTCTGGTCAAGAGGATGGAAGGTCCAGACAAAGTGTCTAGACCTTCCATCCTCTTGACCAGAATTGCCTCAAGTCTCCCTGGACTGGGTTATCTTTTTGTAAAAATGCCTTATGGAATTCCCGTGACCAAGGGCCGTTTCTAGGCATATCGGCCCCCTCCCCCTTCTCTAACCAACTGCAACACGAAGCACCACCGCAACTCTGGCGATTAGGGAGGGCCTTATCGGAAGCATACAGGGAGCCGGAACTGATGGGAAATATTTTGTTACATTTGTAAATAAAGCTAAGTCAAGTCATTTTCTTCCACGCTAACCATGTAAAAAAAATACTTGTTTTTATTATTGTGTTTCTTTGCGCCCCCCCAAAGTCAGAGTTGGAATTCACTCATTTGCATTTTAGAGGCCATTCCAACAACACTACCTCCATGGGAAGGATAAGTTTGATCACCAGGGAAATGGTATTGGGGCTTTATGATCCAACCAGAGTAGTTATCCCCCCCCCCCCCCCCCCCCCCCCTCCTCCCGCAGGCGCTCCGGGCGATCGCCCGCTTCGCCCACCCCTAGGAACGACCCTGCTCGTGACTTCTCCTAAACTGAATAAGAAAAGGTACCTGCCTCCGTATGAAAATTACTATGGACTTCATCCAAAAGCGTCAAGGAATGGCTTGCTACATTGGGGATTTAGACCTTATCTAGGTTCTGTTGGAACCATGTTTGCTTGAGTTGCACGTAACGGACAATACCCGCCTATTCGCCATCACTTTTGAACGTTACACCTAAGCCAGACGTATTATAAATGAACATTGTGGTAGGAGTTCTGCAATACATGTGTTAATGTTCTTTTGACCGCTAATAAAGTCGACAGTCTAACGTTATGCCTACATTCGTTATATATGAAGGTAGATCACCGAACACCAAAAAACTCAACGCATTCCGAACGTTGCAAAAACACTGCTGTGTTCGCTCAGGCATCGCTGAACTTGAATATCAGTGCTGGTGACATTGAATTTACACTCCCCAAACTTTCTCGCAACCTGCTGTTAGCTCGGTGAGGAAATGATTGAGATGGTCCTACCGAAAACAGGGTTAGGCCTATGTTAGATTTGGGAGGGGTAAGCATGTGTGCTCAACCTCGATTCTGGATGTAAGTGTGGACAGAAATGCCTCATAGTGTCCCGGCGGAAGCCTTGAATCGTGCTTCCATTTATCCATTACAGGTCTGTGAGCACTATGATCTTGTGGCAACCGTGGATAGATGGCAGCCTACGTTGTTTGGGCAAGCCCAGGCCCAGATTGCCTGACACCTCTCGCTTGATTGAACTGGACGTCTGTCAACTTCATTTTGCAGGGTTGATCACTCGTGAACTTCTCCCCTAGTCTTCACCTTGCCTAATATGGTCATCAAAGTTTACGTCTCAGGCCTCTCGGGGAGCAAAGAGGTTTGTGGCTTATTCTAGTCCAAGTGATAGGCTTAGAGTTAAACTTGAAATTGCGCATGGACCCCCTCCATGAACCCCCTCTCTGTCTACTACTTCAGTTTGGTTCACGTGACGGGAGCTGGAGGTATCTTTGTGAAGGCAGCAGTATCTTAAATTACTGCAAACGTGGGGAAAAGACAAAGCTGGATATGTGTTACATTGTAGGATGCCTCTCATTGATTACTTTTTACAGCTTACAGATTACAGCTTTCACCAAGGTATATTCTGGACTCCTTGTGTTCATTCAATTCCACCACACATAAGTTACTCATAAGCTAATAATTAATTCCTCAACTGAATGTGCCAGCCTGGATATTGCATTCTTCAGGTGAGCTTCTTTTGTTCAATCTTGTGACATGCAATCCCAACATATATGCTATGATTTTATGGTCCCTGCAGCCAATGTAGAAATTGAGGCACTTGACCTTAGCTTTCCTAAAAAGGATGGTATATGCCTGAAGTTTCAGAAAACATCTTCATGTACCTTTGTGCCAGAAGATGGTGTTTTAGTTGGAATCTCTTCCACTCAAAATAATTTTCTATAAGAGATGAAAATAAAAGTCTAACTTTTCCCTACAGTCCAGTTGTAATTGAAAATTTTGAAATTGCTGAAAATGCTGTGTAGCAAACTTTAACTGCATGTATTATGGATTTCAAGATGTACTGGTGATTTTGATGAACAGCTGCCTTTCATTTTTCTAGGGTAGAGGTGAGATAGACTTCAGATATTAAAATATTTGATTTTAAAGATCACAAGAAAGCCATAATATTTACCTACAATATATATATATATATAAAATAAATAAATCCTTCCACGGCACCTGCCGGTATTGGAGATATGAGGGGGGATGAACCACATCCCAGACCTCATACTCGTCTTAATTCTGAAGGACACGGCGAAGGATGCTGGCCGTGCCCAAGATTGCTGTACGCTGGAGAATATCCAGTGATATTTCACACTCCAGCTTCTTGACATGTCCTTTGAGGTCTTTCAGGACGACGCCAGTTGTGCCTATGATGATCGGAACTATGGTGGTCTTCATTCCGCACAACTGTTCCACTTCCACTTTCAGTTCGGAGTATTTTTCCAGCTTCTCCCTGGTCTTCTCTTGGAGGTTGTTATCGGCTGGGATGCT